GGTGTAAAATAAGAAATACCAAGAATGCGCTTAATTATTTACTAAACTAGCCCAGAGTTACTCAAAATGCTAATGCACTCATTACCTACTGTTAGAGACCAAAATTAGTAAATTATTAAGTTTATTTTGTTATGATTAGGAGAAAATTAATCAAGTTAGAACTGCGCAGCTACTGCATTCACGAGATGATAAATGCACTGAAAATGATGCCAGTTCGATTCATTGATAATATGGCTACAACCATTTGTTTCGCATTTTTCTTATCTTATCTATAATTCTTGAAAATTTGATTTTTCATATGCGGGTCTTTCTGAGGCCATGTATTTATTTTGTCCGCCATTCCTCTGTCACAGAGAGTTCGAAAAACATTGATTTTAGAATAAATGCGATCATAATAACATCAAGACCAGAAATTAATAAGTAATAATCATTAGGTTATATTACTTACTACTTTTATGTGTTGCATCGCATCGTCTGATTAATGAAAAAACGCGATTTTAACCCCAATCCAGCAAATCGGGAAAAACTGTTCTGTTTACAGCTCGAGTTTCCTAGTTAATATTATTCCACTGAGCACGTGGTTGGCATGTGCATATATCTGCTGTGGAAAGATGCGTTTATTACCATGATCATATTTAATTTTTCATTGAACAAGTCTTGATAATTTGTTCCTTTCTTTAAGACTCAAGAAAAAAGCTAAAAAATGTCCTAAACATACGTGTTTACAGCGGGTGGTTTTTCTGTTGCGATAGAAGTTATTTTCAAATGGGGCACTGCAAGGAGGATGCTTAGCATTTAATTTGAAAATGTTAAACAAAAATGAAAAAAAATTGAAATTAATGTCTTACATTCGAAAAGTTGGTACATATGTCTATTTTGTTAAGCAGTTAGAGAGATAAAATAGACAGTTAGAGGATTTCCTTTAGGCACCTCACATAAATAGCTAGATTGTTTGCAATAGCCCACACATTGTATTGAATAATGTTTGGACATAAAAACGCACCATGTCTCATTATGCTGACAATGTTGTATGTTTCTTGCTCAGAAATCGTGTGACTGTGATGCAAGGTATATATATAATATATTTTTCAATAATATTCTGTTAACGTGCGCTTTACTTTTTAATTTGAAACTTAATTTTCTTTCAGCAAATTGTCAAATATTGGACTGAAAAACGTTTGTCCAATCAAATTCGAGTATGCAACAGAAATAAAGAGAGGAGGAGGAAAAATGCTATGTTGTGTTTCCTACCAGGCAATGTGTAACATTCGCAAAGTGCGACAGAAAAAGGTAAGAAAATGTTAAAGTACCTTTTTGCTGTTTTTCCTTGTCAGTATATTACAATGCAGTTTATGTTTATACTTAACAGGAATTGCTCGAAGAGAAACCAAACTAACAAGTTGAAAAGTGCTTGTTTGGCTGACCGATTCCGTTACTTCAACGTGTGGATATTCTGTCCGGACAAGCATACATTTGAATATGTATCCGTGCTGTTACCTCAGTGCTGTTCCTGCAGAGAGTACAAGCTCTGCTAGCCATAAATGGAGCAGCATAGAATCCATTGTTCTAAGGCTGAACATATGTAACTCTCTAGAGTTTATACAAAAGATGAGCCTTTAGCATGTTGCAGGATTTTCTTTTGCTGTTAAAAAACATAGATAAAATCATTGATGCTATGTTAGAGTTTTTTATTTATTAAGGTAAGGTTTGCGTTTACAGGGAGATAACTCTTGCGAATCACCAAAGCGTTTGAAACAGGCGAATTTAAACCAGCGATGCTAAGCACCTCGGTAACGAATTTCCTCTGTCATACTTGATGTTTGTTGTCACTTATTGTTAGGACCAGGACTAAAAACAAAGGACGTTTTCAGGAGAAAGTCTTATAACAAATCAAAGCATAGGAATCTTAGAAGCCTTTGAGATTAGCGTGATGCATGTGGATGAACCAATAAAGGAGGACTTGTTTATTTTCGATACGGAACGTGGCAAGTTGCACGGCCATTCCCGTGATTCCGATCAGAAGAAAGTCATTGACGCATTGTGCTGTTGTGTGTTTCTCGCTTCACCACTACAATAAAATTTTAAGTGAGAATGGGAAAGAAAAAAGAAGAGATCTGAGAGTATCCTGTAAAGTATTATGCTATATGCAGTCTGAACAGGGAAGAAAAGTCACGGTGCATTTGACCATGTCCAATGATGATGTTGACAGTTTGATTGTTGATAGTATTTTCATCAGGTAATTATTTATCTATTCATTTTACTGAAAGTTATGAATGATCTACTGACTATGGATTTAAAAACGCTGAATAAACGGTACAAGGATGTCAGGATGTGACTAATATCTCAACATTGCCAAAAAATAAAAATACATTCTTTCAAGAAATTATGAAAAATAAAATCTTGCTTTTTAGGCCTAATATTTGTAACATTATTGGAACAGGTATTCAATTGTTCAAGTTACCTTTTTAAATGAGTTTTGATTTTAATTAATATCTCATTTTCTAATTAATAAAAAAGAGATACAGATTGTGCATGACAAGAATATTAATTTTCTTGATCAAACATTTGCATTTCACTAATTCAATCTGTAAATTTTTCAATAATTTCATATTGATTCTTCATTGATTATATTGGAAATTTATTCATTTCATTGAGTGAATGAAACTCAGTGCAATTCCTTATGCAATTCCAAAAATGCAATTCCTTAAATGTTATTGTAAAAATGAACACATATGATTTCAGATCATGGGTCATTAATTGGAATAGATAAGAACCAAAAAAAGTACTTTAGTGTTTCCTTAAAATATTTGTGCCATCAATCAAAGTAGAGTTCATCCCATATCAGCTCAAGAATATTAAAGAAAGTTGGATTGATCAAGCTAAGATGTTGAACCAGACATGGCAAAATCAATGGAGATTTGGAGAAGAACTTCTGACTTGTTATACCCAATGCATATTTTTATATGTCTATAGATTATAAAAGAAAATTTAAATGTTTAACAACATCCTATCTATTATATACATGCTGTTTTCCATATATTTAGAAAATATGTGTATGTGATGATTGCAGTGCATGCTCTGTTTGTCCATCTTTGAATTTGTTTTCAGTAAAATAAATGTATGCATCATAGGTATTAATTGAAGGTTGCTTTTGTCTATACTTACATTTAACAAGTTTCTAAAAAGGGTTTGTAAAATTGCAAGGAAATTAAACCATGAACAATTAAGATTAATATTTTTATTCATTAAATTTTTTTTACCAGGACCTAATATGCTCAAATGAGTATTTCTGAAAACTGATGAATGTTGTACATAAAGCTGCAGTGAACATGTAATATAATTATATCTACTGTAACAGTTTAAAACATGACACTTGGAAATTGTAAGGTTGTTAATTTAGTAGGAATAATAAGACCAGTTTAGTAATTTATTTACTAAAATTAAAATCTTTCACAAATACATGTAGTTTATTTTCAAATTGTTTACATTTATAATCTTTTAATTGCTTTCTTCATTTTGATTTTAAAAAGGAGAAAATTTTGTTATATTTGAATTATTATTTCATGGATATCAAGGAGATATATCTATCACTGTAGCATTAATTGCTTCAGAATCTTTTTCCCTGTTCTTGACAAATATTTATGACAGTGTTATGTCATTTTGCAAAATTTGCCTTTTCTCTGAAATCAGAAGTACTCTGTAATCTCATTAAAGTATGAATTGATGTCACTTAGAATTCATATTTATTTTGTTCTATCTGATATTTCAATTTAGATTCTCAGACTACCTAAAACCAATGACTGAGCTAATGTCCATGAAGTGTAGAAATAGGCCATCTTTAAAAATGTTTGGTTTTCGGCCTCTCCAGACCGACTGAATAAAATGACCAGACTGAAACCTTTTTTTCAATGCAGGGTCGTATTTTTTTCTTTTTATTCCTCTTATTCCCCTTAAAAAATGTTGTTGAAGATTTTCTCACCTACCGACCCAATAATTTTACCCTGAGTCAAGAGAGGGCAAACAAACATTACTTTAAAGATAGCATTTCTACTCTTCGAAATAAAGAAATCATTTAATTATAAAAACAGCAGCTTCGTGCATGCAATGCTTACAACATTTCACTCAAAAAATGGTATACATGTATAATGACAGTCACCAGCCCTAACTGAATAAAGATATTTTGCTGCAAAGATGTCTAGAAGTTACTACATGTTGGAATAACTAAATCAGCATGAGGTCAAATTCATAGGCTTTTAATTGGTTTAGTTGCAACATGTTCTGGAGTATGTTTATATACATGTACTTCTAAAGGTGTTGCAGTATAACTCATGGACAATTTCATCAGAATATTCAGATGAAAAGATTGCCATAAATACTAGAGTTCTTCCATGGAAATTTTTTTTAGACCATCATGTAGCACAGGAGGAGTTTTACTTTGAATATTTTTGGCAAATTTATGCCTAAAAACAATATCAAAAATAACATTTAGTGTTAACATTCACCATGACAAGGTGATATCAATGTTGTCTTTAAAAGTGTAGAAAAAGCCTGATTTTTATGTTCCGAACCCATAGTATAGCCCCTGTTTCCATGGAAATAATATTGGGGACATACATATTTTTTTAGTTCAAATTAATGAAAATGCTCAAATTAATAACTTCATGGATTTTGATGGAATCGGTAGATATGTAAAACGTTGATTTTTATATTTTTGTTGCCATGGCAACGGTTTCACTTTATCAAGGAAAATTGAAAAATCTTCTTTTTTACCCAAGTTTTCACATTTTTGATAGCGGAAAATTAAAAGTTTAAATAATAGAAGCATGAATTATACTAATTCAGGTCATTTTAATTATAAAAGTTTGATAATTTATAAAATAAATCATTTTTTTCAATGAAAATAATATTCGAGGTGAAATATGAAATATGTTAAATTTGGCGCCTTTTACTAAAAAAATGGGACGGGCAATATCTTTGAAAATCATATTAAATGATGAAGCTAATCTCCCTGAATAAATTGATATATACCGTGTGAGCATATTAAAAAAAATATGAGTTGGAGGGAGACGCAAACCTTACCTTAAATATATTGAGATGACGTACAATATTCAAGCTCAAAGGTCCATTTAAAGATACAAATTTTGGAGCAGAGCAAACCTGGGCCTCTAAAACATCAGTCGGGATCGGGTACAATGTAGATGTGAGCATCCCCTGCCTACCGGCCACATCTCGGTGTCAAAACCGGGAGAAAAAAAAATCCGTTGTGAATTCATTTTATAAATATTGGTCTTACAATTAGTTTGAAAATGTCAATCAACATTTGACTTAATGGAAGATTGTATTTTCTGACAAGATCATTGTATCGACTATAGAAATTACGAAATCACTTAATCACTTTAAAAAAGAATGATTGTTTTATAAACCTGTTTGTCATTAAATAACCTTGTTTTAGAAATTGTTCATACGTAGAACATGCTCTTGCGCATCGAATCAACTTAAGATTTTAAACTCCTATGCAGGTGATGAAAGTTTTATGCTACATAAGTAAATGAAGTTGACAAATGAAAAGTTAAAGCCATCAGGTTCATAAAATTTTTCAAATGGTTGTTAAATTACTACAAAGATCTTCTCTAGTAAACGGTAGCTAAATATGAAACTGATTTGTTAGATGTATATTCCTTTTTCATAATGTTTGACGAATAATTTTCAAATTGTCATTTAAGTAAGAGGAAGATCCACTTAGGGCCTTTTTGGCCCTGAAAATTTCTGAAAACAAAATATGTTTGTGAAACACTATGCACCCAGCGGCAACAACGTTCAAAAAAGTATTTTTAGCACACAGGCCGCAGTCAAGGTCACACAATCATTGTCCTTGGTGTCATTTGAAAGCACTTAATTAGTGGAGTTTGCATGCCAAATATGAAGTCTCTTTCTCCTATAATTTTAAACGTTTTAGCGAAAGTTCAAAAAGTTTTTTTAGCATATAGGTGACAGATATGGTCACAAGGTCATTGACCTTGGGTTATTTAAAAGAGCTTAATCATCGGAGTATGCATACCAAATATAAAGTCTCTATCTTTCAGGGTTCAAAAGATATGACGAAGAAAAAGTTGATAACAGACAGACTAACAGATAACAGACAAACAGACAGACAGGACAAAACAATATACGCCCCGATTCTATCGATCCAGGTGCATATTAATACTTTCAGTTTAGGTTGAAAATACAGTATTTATCACTTAGAATGTTTGTAGCCATGGTTCTATTGATAAGACGTAATATTTCCTCTAGTCATTGCATTATGACATCATAATTTATTTTTTGGATCTTTGACTTTGCTCATATTTTAATTCTTTGCTGAATGTAGTCAAATACACATGTTTTCTGCAAAATTCGAGATCATTGAATTTTCTTAAAGCCTGTTTTTCAATACTTTGATTCTCAAAAAGAAATTTTATTATAGAAAATAAACGCACTATGTGTCTACTTTATTTTGATCTATGAAATAGGAAAGAGGGTGGTAATTAAGGGCCATAAAATTATGCAAGTGAACTTAGATCTTCAGTAGGTTATTTTGAGCTTGTGTTATGGAATAAGTTTAGATAATTAAATTTGAGTTGAAACACGTTATTTGATTGGGTACAAGACTTTATCCATTTTGTATAACATGATTTGCCTACGTCACAATGAGTTACGTCAAAAACGTATTACTCCGCTTGACGTTACTTTTTAAAATATGCTTCATTTGCAGCCTATTTCAGGAGTAGAAATTGTCTCATTGTCTTCACCAAAATTAAAATATAAGGAATTAAGCTTCTTTCAACTTTCGTTACTTGGGGCAGATTATGTTTTATAAACCGCAAAGCATAGAGGTATAGACATTTTACATTTATTGAATTTTTTTTTAAAATGTTGAATATATGTTTTCATTAAAAAATAAAAATATCTTCTTTTCAGTAAAACGATTCTTTTGTTATAGATGTGGGGATGGTGGTAATGTGTTTGTTTTTTACAAAGGGAGAACAACTGTTGTCAAGTTCATCATCATATGCATAATTGCATTGTAAAATCATCAATTATTTAATAGTACTTTAGTCAAAGAACTATATGTATAGTATATCAGGCAAATGTAGGAAAATGATCTAAATATTCTACTTTTCATTTCCATACGATAAATTTTTTAGAACACTTCTTTCAGTTTGCTTATCTACTCACTCTGGGCATAAATTCAAGGAATTCAAATAAATAAATAAAAAATAATATATTACATTTTATTTGTGACTATTAGAGTGAATAAATGGCTCTCCCACAATTTTTAACAATTCACACCACACACTTTACACATAACAAAGCGCTTTATTTTGGCTTCTTCAGTCGTACTTAAAGACAGTGGACTCCGTGTCTCTCCTGGGGGCTTGTAGGGGAGGGACGGCAAGCATCACTTGGCTGGCGTCAGGGTAATTATGGAGTCCGGCTTCCCTTAGTTTGGCCTCAAGGCGTATCCAGGGATCTGTTGTTATCTGATTAAATTAAAAAGAATTAGTGAACACTGGGTATAATTTCAAGCATTGAAAACAAAAAGTGTCCTCATATAGAAGGTGATCTTCCTGTTTGAGTGGAATGTGTTTATACATGTAGCAAACAAAGGCTTATCGATGTTTATTTCTTCATCTAAATCGTTGTTGGCTTCCCATGCCTACAAAAGAACAATTAGAGAATGGAAAAGTTTAACAGTTCTTCCATTTTTCTCCTTCTTCATTTACGGAAGAATAGCACATGCGAGTACTATTGAACTAATTTATAATTTATAAACAGAATCAGAATTATTTAGTTGTACCTTTGTAGCTGCAATCATTCTGACTGCATCACTTTCAGCTATAACTCTAACCTATACATATAAAATTAAGTGATATAACATTGTACATATACATATACGCATAAATCATCAATGTTTCTAGCTCATCGTTGATGCACTGCCACACCCAACAAACTAGACAGGTATTCCTTACAGCCACGTAGTATCGTTTTTGAAAGGGGGGGGGGGGGGCAGCCACAGAATTTTTGTTGACCTACCTGAAAAAATTGAAAAGAAAAAAAGGGGAAATTGAAAATTGTTCAAATGCGCAAATCCTATTTCATAGAGGGGGATGTTGGAGAGGCCAACGCAACCTCTTTCAACTATTTTCATTTTTTGCATACAATACTACATTTCCCTGATATCAATTAAATGTATTATATAGTGGGGGAAGGGGCAACCAGCCTTTAGATGAACATTCCAAATAGTAAAAGTATTGTTGGGACCCCCTTCCGCCTTTTTGCTACGTGCCTGCCTTATACAGTGCCCACTGTCCAATCCGACCACTGTGCAATCCGGCACACTGGCACTTCCGACGTAAATCTTTATTCCCAAAAATATCTTTATATAACTTATATTGAAAAATACTTTACAATCCGACCACTGTACATTCCGAATTCCGACACCTCTTTGTAAACACAGCCTATTAATTGCATTGCAGTTTCACCTGTGTTATCCGACATAATTACACGGCTGGTTAAACCCCAGTGGTGAAGCCTTTGTTTACACTGTATGACACATTGAGTATGATAATGAGGGGATTAGTTACGGCTGAACGCACGCAGTCACCTTACCTGTGTTAATAATTGGCACACTAGATTGATATGTTTTAATACAGTTATGATGATCAGCTCGGGTTTAAATTACTTTTCAGTGATGTTATCGATAATTATAATTGTTTGCAATTTTTTCCAAGGTTAGATTTTAATTATTTAACTATTAGCTTGTGTGTGACAATTTGTTTGGACATTGAAATGCATCAAAGTAACAGGACCATTGATTTGAGAATTGTCACAAACAGTATGAAATACATAACCATATTAAAGAAACAAATAAAACAAAATTTTTTTTTGCTGAATATAACATACTGTTTATCCTGGGGGAAATAAATTACGGAATAAAGTCAGGCATTTAGTCTACTTCCGTTTCCAAAATGGCGGCCATCGAAGAAGGAATGTAAACATGTGCTGATTAAAGATGGCAATAACTATTAAAAACCAATTTTTATAAGTCATTTTATTAGAAAAATGTTATCACAATAAATTAAAAAGTAAATTCAACAATTTCATTTAGGAGAATAGCCAGGTAAAGTGATCAAACGAAACGAAAGTGCAAGACTGAAATTTGCTACGATGTATTGTCAATACATGTAGCTCTTTACATGGACTTGAAATGTGACAGAAATAGCCAACACTGAGTAATCCGACACACTGTTTAATCCGACATAAATTTAATTTCCCATGGCATGTCGGATAAGACAGGTTTCACTGTACATGTATTTACTTATATATGAAAAAGAAAAGAATTGTAAAAGCAAGAAAAACATGCTGCTTGAGATTTAATTTCTAGAGGCAACTCAAGTTGAATTCAATAGTCATTTTCCACTAATGTCAGACAGAAAGAAATTTGCATGAGAATGACATGCATACTGTGAAATCACAAATTTTCATGGTGGTTTACTTTTTCGTTGTTTTCAAGGTTTAAAGAGACTCATGAATACATGTCCACCACGAAATGTAAAATGGTACATACATAACTAGTCAACAATTCTTCATATACGAATTCAAATCCCCACGAAACAAGAGATTTTACTCCAACTATGAAAATTTGACCACATGAAAATATGTGATTTTACAGTTTTACATAATTAGGCTCCTGATCTTTTACTTGACGAAATTTTAATTCAGTTGAAATAATAAGAAAATCAACTCATTTGACTGTTAAAGTACTATCATAAAGAAAACAATTAGAAAATAAAACATATAATATAATAATATACTTCAGCCAATTTGTAAGTATTATTGAAAATGATTTTATATATTTATAGTAGATAAATTAGCTAAAATTATTTTAATTTATAATTGAAAAATGATTTGATTAATGATTTATATTTTTTTTTATTTTGATTTTGATTACAATTTCATTTTAATGGTGATATTTATTGCTTTTAGTTGAATTCTTTTTAGATATACATAATTATACAATATGTACAAACTTATATGCCCTTAAGTTGAACATGTATAGCTCATGTTATATCTATGCAGTTAATTGCTTTTTTTTCGTTACTTAGCATGGAATTAATTATAAAATACTTAATCATATTGAATATAACCCCAATCAATTAATAACACAGTACAGTGCACAATATCGCTCATACCTGATCCCTCAGGATTTCCAGTCTTCTCTCTTTCTCTGTCTCTACCTCAACCTTATGTTAAAGGAAACACATTCACGGTAGCTCAGTCGGTAGAGCGCTCGCTCCGTGATCGGGAGGTCATGAGTTCGCATCTCGGCCGTGACTGACCTAGTCGTTAAAATGGGTAGCAACTGTTCCTTCGCCATGCGCTCGGCACTTTGAAGTGATAGTTGCGGGTCATTCGGATGAGACCTTAAAAACTGACAGCGGCAGGCGTTGGCACGATAAAGATCCCTCACTGCTCAATGCTCAATGAGTGCCGAGTAAAGGACAAAATTTGAAGCCCTTCACCTGCATACGGTGACGTCTCCATATGAGTGAAAAATTCTCGAGAGGGACGTTAAACAATGTACAAACAATCAATCAATCAATCATACCAGTGCCCAGGACGTGATGCGATGTGACCTGTGTGAGAGCGCTGTGGTACAGATGCACTGCGACACATGTCTTGTCAACCTGTGTAAGGCCTGTGTGGGAGAATATTTTTCTGCTGATCTTTCAAAACCTCATAAAATTATTGATTTCAAGGCTAGGAAATCTACTTTGATTTACCCTAAATGCACGTCACATGATGTGAAAACATGTGAAATGTACTGTACTCAATCTGACATTCTTGTCTGCAACACTTGCATTGCATCTGATCAACACCTAGGTCATAGATTTTTGAAAATTATGGAATAATCTTGAGTAAAAGAAAAGAGCAGATAAAAAAGGAGCGTACAAAATTAACAGAAACAATCTATCCAACTTATCTGGGCATTGCAAGTGATGTAGAAAAAAGATGAAATCTATTACAAGAGGAATATGAAAATCTCCTGGCAGTCATAACAAAACAAGAAGAAATTTGGCATAGAGATATTACTGAACTGGTCAATAAACTTGAATTTAGAACTGATGAAATGAAAAAGAAACAGTTCGAAACGCTACAGAAACTTTTTGATGAAATAAAACAGAAAATATCCGAGATCCAGGATGATATCAATTCAATCGATGATGCTTTAAATTCCACAAATAATATGTTTGGGACCCTGAATTTTCTCCCAATAAAATAGAGGAATAGCAATTGTGTAATTTTATGCCTGGTATTTTGAAAGAGGGTGAATACAAATTTAACATGACAAAATCAGATTCACAAGAAGCTGGATCCTCTCCTCTAGTCAAACAGCTGCTAGATGAACCAGAGACTTTTACCACCATAGACACTGGGTTTATATGTCTTTACAATGTGGCCAGTTTAAGTGATGAAGAAATCTGGACAAGTGGAGGTGACAAAACCATGAAACTCTACAGCATCAGTTAAGGATCACTACTTAAATCAATAGCAAAAAAGTCAAAGAACAGAGCAGAGTACATAGCAGTGACAAAAAGTGGAGATCTAGCTTATACTGATACCAATGATAGAACTGTAAACATTTTGAAGAATGAGAAGATGGAGGAGGTGATCAGACTACTGAACTGGAGACCTAATGGTGTTTGTATAACCTACCATGGGGACCTGCTGGTTACTATGCTTAAAGATAACAAGCAATCCAAGGTTGTCCATTACACCGGATCTACTGAGAAACAAACCATTCGTTTTTCAAGTATTACAATATCATTAGAGAGAACAGAAACCTGGATATTTGCATGTCTGACCGGGGAGCTAACGCAGTAGTGGTTGTCAATCAGGATGGGAAACTGGGGTTTAGGTACACTGGACATACATGTACCCCTGCTTCAAAGAATAAACCATGTGAACCACGAGGAATCACCACAGACAGTCAGTGTCATATCCTAAAAGCTGATAAAAACAATGACTGTAATAACAGTTACTTTAGAATTTGCTGTTTTAGCTTTCAACAACATGCATGCAAATTTGTCATGTATTCAGAAACATTTACTTTACAGTATGAGAATATTGTTTATCTCTATAGATCAAATTCTTGCAAGAACTATTTTGAACAAGATGATTCAGAGAATTTGTGTACCCCTCTTAAGAAAAAATCACACCCTCCCCTTCCTCGGATTTACAAATACTAACGTACGTAAAGGGCAATAGGGATCGTAGGGAGTTTTGGTATAAATATTGACCCCAAAAACCATTGCTTCTAGAGAGAAAGGTTTACGCACAGAAAATATTTATTAAATATAGTATGTATTACTATAATATATATAAATGTATCACTGTAAAAAAAAAATTCAACTGACGTACCAGGTCAAGCGTTCGGGATTGTATAGATACAACATAGTGAAAATTACTTATAAATTCTCGATTTACTAATGTTATCTAGAAAATCTATATTCAATATATCGTTAAACTACTTTTAGGGTAGTGATTGTATGGAAAGAAAATTTCCTTTCTTCTTAGTGATATTCACTAAGTCTTCTTAGTGATATTCACCACGTTAGTACCTGTTATAAAAATCTGTTACATAAAAAAGGGCACACATTTCATGAACTTCAATGTCAGCAATTGTGAAAGTATCATTTAGCACCTTTGAGAAGTACTGTCTTTTACGTTTATTAATGTATTTAGATTAACATTAAAACTATTAGTTAAGTTTACTTGATATTTAGTAGTCTATTCAAACATGAATGCAGTTGACTTATCATCTAAGTCATTAATAAGATATTTAGCCTGACAAGAATGGAAATTTTTTTTATTTTACTTTGGTATTGTACTAACCATTGTTTTATATGCAAACAAAACTTAAATGGATATTTATTTTATAATTTTATCAAAATTGGAAAATGAAACATAAAGAATCAAGAAAAGTTTCGTGTTACAGGCTGTGTCTGGAAAGGGAAAATATGAACGTTTGAAGAAGAATTACTTTATTTTATCAACAACTAAAGGAGAACAAACCATAAACAATCATGATCTTCCGTTCATATGTGCAGCGACACTAGCACTCAAAAGTATGATTTAAACGGAAAATATTCTTTTTTGGCATTGTGTGACTATTATTTACTAGTCTTATTTTCAAAATTAACCTGTTGAAACTTCTTAGTGTTTTTCGAAAAGATGGAATATATCAGTTTGTTTCATTTGTAATATAAATTTGGCACTTCATAACTCATGGCGTTTAAACTAATATTGAAATAATTTACGCTATGGTAAACATGTTCATTTTAAAAAATCAAATGCTAATATAGAATTATTTTGTTCCGCGAAAAGGAAATCTCTGTGATCAAGTGTGTTATCAAAGTTTTATAACTGAGTATATGTATGCATGTATTGCGCAGTTGCCATATCTAGTTTGAAATCAATTAATTTAATAAAATTCTGTTACCGAGACATAGTTTGAATGCGGAGTTCATCAAATTTTGTTGGTTTTAATGTATCGATTTCATACAACAAGAGGCCCATGGGTTGCATCGCTCACCTGAGCACTGGGGCGAAGGAATAAGTAAAAAGCAATCCAGTATTGAAAAGCCTAAATGCATAAGTTGTCCCGATCTATCCCTAAAAGATGGGGGGTGATTTGAATTAAATTGAATACTAAGATAGCTTACATATTGACTTACTATGGCTTTCCCCCATTAACCTATAACTTTCATTTTGGTCACACCCTCCCCCGGGATAATGATTTGAACAAACTTGAATCTACACTACCTAAAGATGCTTCAACATTAGTTTTATCTTTCCCGACTCAGCGGTTCTGTAGAAGACGATTTTTCAAACATGCAACCAAATATTTTTTTTTTGATTTTTTCCCTTTGAAAGAAGGCGTGGCCCTTCACAAGAACAAACTTGAATCCCGTTTGCCCAAGAATACTTTTTGGCAAGTTTGGTTGAAATTGACCCGGTGGTTCTGTAGAAGAAGTCGAAAATAAGAAAAGTTTGCAGACAGACGGACAAATGGACGGACAGACGGACTACAAACAAATTGTGATCAGGAAATTTCACTTTAGCTTTCAGCACAGGTGAGCTAAAAACTACATTGACATAATTTCCAACTTTCTATGACGATAAGTAGTTCATGGAAGGTAAGGTTAAGAATATGCTTTCGACCAGCGGAGTAATGAGTTGTTCTTCATGTTGTGAGTTCAAATTCCACTGCAGGACTTGGACATCATTCGTTCAGAAAAGACCGCTTAAACCCAGGTCCTCTGTCCCACTATGTGCTGGCACAAAAAGATATCTCACTGCTCAATGGCCTAAGTACTAAATATAGGTCTATATTTGATTTCTTCAGCTGGCAAGCTTTGGCATTCCAATATACTTGATAGGGAATTGAATAATCAGCTATCTATAATTACGTAATTATGTCAAAACATTATAATTAGATCTTTCTTATAGGAAAAAGACAAGGAATTACTTACATATTTAAGTTTTTGAAAATTAAAGTGATTAATGATAGTTATATGTACAATGCAAGAAATGCGTGCTTATGAATGCAGCAGCAGTAGCATATACAAATGGAAGATGTTGATTGTTCATTGATAATCCTCCCTTAGTTGTTTCATTATATATAATATATAAGTATACCATTAGCAAAAGTTGACATTTTTCCTTTCTAGCTAGACACCAGACATTTATCATTAAGTCGATTACTGACTTACGTTTTTCATACTGATTGTAAGGCCATTTTATAAACATTGAATTGTTGACAATTTTTTCCGTTATTTACTGATCATGAAGAGGAGCATACGGCGGTTGTAACCGATTGGCCGGGGATGCTTCATTGTATCTGATCCCACTGCAGATGTTTGGAGGTCCTTGTTAGCTCTGCTTCAATTTTGTATTGTTTAATGGACTTTGGGACTTGAATACTGTTCGTCATCTCCATATACGAGTGTTGTCCGTAAAGTTCGTGGACAAGCTAAAATTTTAAATAAAAATGGTGTCATTGATATTTCTTATTATCATACTTACTGTAAATGTATTACATTTGGCGTGTACCATATTTGGCAGAAATTCAATTTTCAGCAAGTTAGCGTAGATTTGATTTAACGTTGTCTAAATTTGCTAGTCATAGAAGATAATAGAAGATAATACAAGACATTTAGCGATGTATTTGAATTAGTGGACTCTGTTTTCCGCCAATATCGCTAAATAGAATACACCGCCAAATGTAATACGCTTACAGTATAATCCTTTATGTGAATTAAAAAATGTAAAATCATATTAAATTTTAAATATATAATTAGAATCATAGCTTAATTATTAGACTTGGGATTGTTACCCGGAGCACCACAAAGTTTTTATTAAAAGTTATTTATCACTTTATAAATTTCATTTGTATTTCGTAAAATTTCGCGGAAATTGGGATTGCTTTTACATTATGAGGTTGACAAAAGTTAAAACCTCAAACCTGCAAAATTTGAACATTTAGAGTTTAGAAATGGCTGAGAAATAGAGGTTAGAATATATTGAGACAGGATCTGCATTGTTCGAAAAAAGGACGTTTTCAGAAGGTGGAACAGAGATCAGTAATAAGATTCTGCGTAGACAACGGAAAAACGCCATTAGAGACCCATAAATTCTGTTAACAGTCTGGAAAATTTAGTAAATGAAACCGTTCTATAGTATTTAAGTTGAATATAAAATTTTCGGACGGAAGGAACAGTTTACAGGATAACATGCGTGAAGTACGACCATCATTACGAGATTGCAGTGCGGTAAAAATAAATTTCGTAAAGAAAAACAAAATGAAAATTCTCGACGGTTACCTAAATGATTTTTTCATGGTGGCTGATCTTGAAGTTCATGAAATGTGTGCCCTTATTATCTTAAAGATTTCTAAAAAAGATACTAAAACAGTTCTAGTGAAAAAGGTTTTCGTGACTGTTTCGCAAATATTATTTATTTTTATATAATCAGAAAAGGGTATATAAAGATTCGGATGAAAATCAGAACTTCACTGGCCTCCGTCAAGTTCGACTGTCTGCCATCATGGAGGTAAGCTTTTTAATTAGTATCTTATTTTAGTTCTGTTAATTATTTTTTTTAATCTTTCTTTTAAACAGCAATGAAATTAAGTTATGTATAAAACAAATGTAATCATACATAACGAATGCAATTTTCCCTGGAAAATAGACGGATTATATTTAATTGTTAACTTAAAAACTTAATTAATCTTGTTAATTTACTACATTTCATTTAAAAAGAAATAAGTAGGTTTAACCTTTTTTTCATCATGAAAATCCTAAACAGGATTGCTTGTAAATTCTTATCTGAATAATGAAGAAAAATATCTTACTTGTGATTCTATAAATATTTCATCTATATTTCATTTTTAAATATTTTTAAATTCAGTTACTTCACACAGTCTTGTTCTAAACTTAATAACATTTTCACTTTCGGTTACTGTTTACCATATTAAAATCAATATAGAAATTCAATCAGAAAAAAAGTTTTTAAGTACCAAAGTTTATCTTTTTTAATTTATATTATGCTAAAATCCTTTCAAATACTAAAGGTATATATAATTCATATAGTCAAGTCAAAATTTTTCATTTTGTAATACAATTTCTCTTTACCCTGTACGGTTAACATCAAAGGATCAAAAGTTAATTTGAAGGTTCACACGAATTCCAAACAAAGTGTACAGTGTATACACAGAGACCAGTAAGTAAATGTCAATCATGTTCCAGCATCCAATGATGGACCTTCATGCACTTGATTGACAGGCTAGGGCTACCCAGATCAGGTATTTTTGAAGGCGATGCTTAAAATCTTTGCATTTACGAGTACCGTCATGGGGATTTGTATAAAAATTTCTAAAGAAGTGTTGAAGAACTGTTGTATTGTCCTCTTTGGAGTTTATTTGTATTTTATTCACATCCACTCTGCTTCTCTTATTCCAGCATGGATACAGTTAATATTAATTTTAATTTTTCGGTGTAATCAGATTATTTTTTTACTTTCATAAATAAATTATATCATCTCTTTATAATTTTGAAGATTAATTCCACGTTTTGTTCAAATTGCTAACCAATGCTATTAATATTTTTATTTATATTGCAGTGCGTTTGGATACTTGTAGCAACAGTATGCCTTGTTATCTGTCTAACCGAGGCTTCTGGTGATAAGAAATGCGATGTTATAAAGTTTGGTAAAGGGAAGTATGACAAGAAAAAAGAATGCTGGAAGAAGGAACCTACAACGCCTAATTTGGAGGCTACATCTGTGCCTCAATCTTTGAAAATCAGGTCAGAATGTACCTTGGATTCAATAATCCTTAACATCAATTACCATATAGGCCTAAATCTTTGAAAATTAAGTCAGAATTTACCTTGTACATCAAGGCCCAAATCTTTCAAAAACAGGTCAGAATTTACCACCCGTTCAGTAATCTTTATCATTCAAATCTTCATATTCAAATATTGCTTGATTGGAAGTGCAACATTTTATCACAATTGAATATTTTGGTATGCAAAAAGATCCCATATCTAAAAAGTTTTAACAATTTGGTTAATGATATCGATAAAATGTACTGATAGTTTGTTGTCATAGTGATATATGATAGTAAATATTTTCTGTTCATAAAATCAATCAACCTGATTTTTGAAGTATTTTTATGGTTGAATAAACCTCCACTTCTCATTCGATGAATTTCTACATCTATATCCGTGAATATAACTTTATTTCCTTTTAAAGCATCCCTTACCTTTATTAGTTACGTAGATAAAAGAAAACTTACAGATATAATTTCCGTAGAAAGAGAATCGACAAACACCTTAACGTCTTATAAAAAAAATACCCGTGTCTTTGCCTGATAGTTGAGTCACAAAGAGTCTTGACGTTTTAGTTTCTTGAAAACATATGTAATTTAGCTTTAAACAAAAATTTGCCCCTTCTATTTTGCCTTTAAGATGGTCCGATTCCCAGGACTAAAAATCAAGGTTTTGGTAATTAAACGTACTCACAAAAATGAGTTTGAATCGTAAAAATACTGTATAATTATATACCCATGTTATTCTTTCAAAGTTCTTCATTAAATCTAATCATATTTTATAGGGGAAAATATATTAAATCTTAAATATATTTTCGGGAAATGCTAATTAAGGTACTGACTAGACCTTTGGTAAAAATTGCATGTTTTAAACTTTTTACTCCAAACGTAAAAAAATATTTAGTGTAAAATGTTTGTTCTATCATTATAAGATAACACAGGTCACTTTTAATATCATATAATGTTAATAAACATTGGTATCTAAGGTTAGATTACAGGAAATTTTATTTCTATAAAATGTATTTACTTACATGTATGTACTTCAAGGAGATTTCCAAAGGCCCCTGAAACATACCGAGATACATGTACCTAAAATGAAAATTGTTGCACGAAAAAGATTCAATATTAAGCTCAATTTTGAGCTTTTTTAAATTTGATATTAAAAATAAGAGTTCTTCCAGGATCAAAAATATTAAAAAATATTCTGATTTTTAATTGAAGAATTAGTACTAAACAAAGTTCCCCGCAGAAAATTAGGGTACCTTACCAGGCATTTGGACATGATACCAGAGTGTCATTTTTCTTATAAAACAATTATGGGTATTTTTTTATCTTCTGAATGGTCTATATCCCCATTTTTGGTGTACTTATATTTAAATGTCAAAATCAGAAGACATTAACAAATATGAATGAATTTTATATAATACCAAAAGATACAAAGCATATATTTGAGAACGTGTCGTCTGACCTTAAATACAAAACATAGTCTTCATTGAATGTTAAGAAAGTCATGTTGAGTGTGTATGTTACTTATAGATTACAGAGCATTTAATGGTACATTGTTAGTTAACTATTACTTTCTAACCCAGTTAGCCAAATGTAAGCAACAGTGAAAGGATTTGTATCCATAGTTTTCGTCATATTCGTTCGAATGAAACCTCAATATATCATGACTGTTTATTTTTCAAATCAAAATTAAAATTATATTTTAGGAGAAAAATTCAGCGTGCGCTGAAGTGCAGAATGGGAATAAAGAAGTTTCTAGCTCAGAAATCGTGTGACTGTGATCCAAGGTATATATTATTTATTTTTCATAATATTCTGTTAGAGTGCGCCTTACTTTTTAATTTAAAACTTAACATTTTTTTCAGCAAGTGGTCAAGTATTGGACTGAAAAATGTTTGTCCAATCAAATTCGAGTATACAACAGAAATTAAGAGAGGAGGAGGAAAAAAATGCTATGTTGTGTTTCCTTCCCGGCAATGTGTAACATTCGCAAAGTGCGACAGAAAAAAGTAAGAAAATGTTAAAGTACCTTTTTTGCTGTTTTTCCCTTGTCAGTATATTACAATGCAGTTTATGTTTATACTTAACAGGAATTGCTCGAAAAGAAACCAAACTAACAAGTTGAAAAGCGCTTGTTTGGCTGACCGATTCCGTTACTTCAGCGTCTGGATATTCTGTCCGGACAAGCATAGATTTGAGTATGAAACCGTGCTGTTACCTCAGTGCTGTTCCTGCAGAGAGTACAAGCTCTGTTAGCCATAAATGGAACAGCATGGGATCCAATTGTTCTAAGGCTGAAAATATGTAATTCTCTAGAGTTTGTTTCTACAATAGATGAGCCTTTAACATGTTGCCGGATTTTCTTTTGCTGTTAAAATACATAAATAAAAGCATTGATGCTATGTTAGAGTTTATCTTATTCATGAAATATATTGAGATGACTAACAATATTCAAGCCCAAACGTCCATTAAAAGATACAAATTTTGGAGCAGAGCAAACCTGGACCTCTAAAACATCAATCGGGATCGAGTACAATGTAGATGTGAGCATCCCCTGCCTACCGGTCACACCTCGGTGTCAAAACCGGGAAAAAAGAAAATTCCGTTGTCATTTCAGTTTTTAAATATTGGTCTAACAATTAGTTTGAAAATGTCAATCAACATTTGACTTAATGGAAGATTGTATTTGCTGACAAGATCATTGTATCGAATATAGAAATTATGAAATCACTTAATAACTTTAAACGGGACTGATTTTTTTATAAACCTGTTTGCCAATAAATAACCTTGTTTTAGAAATTGTTAATACGTAGAACATGCTCTTGCGCATCGAATCAACTAAATATTTTAAACTCCTATGCAGGTGATGAAGGTTTTATGCAACATAAGTAAATGAAGTTGACAATTGAAAAGTTAAAGCCATCAGGTTCATAAAATTTGTCAAATGGTTGTTAAATTACTACAAACGGTAGCCAAATATGACACTGATGTGTTAGATGTATATTCCTTTTTTCATAATGTTTGACGAATAATTTTCAAATCGTCATTTAAGTAAGAGAAAGATCCACTTAGGGCCTTTTTGGCCCTGAAAATTTCTGAAAACAAGATATGTTTGTGAAACACTATGCACCCAACGGCAACAACGTTCAAGAAAAATATTTTTAGCACACAGGCCCCAGTCAAGGTCAAACAATTATGTCCTTGGTGTCATTTGAAAGCACATAATTGGAGTTTGCATGCCAAATATAAAGTCTCTTTCTCCTATAATTTTAAACGTTTTAGCGAAAGTTCAAAAAGTTTTTTAAGCATATAGGTGACAGATATGGTCACAAGGTCATTGACCTTGGGTTATTTGAAAGAGCTTAATCCTCGGGGTATGCATACCAAATATGAAGTCTCTATCTATCAGGGTTCAAAAGTTATGACGAAGAAAATGTTGATAACAGACAGACAAACAGACAGACAGGACAAAACAATATACGCCCCGATTCTATCGATCCAGGTGCATAAAAAAAACTTTCAGTTTAGGTTGAAAATACAGTATTTATCACTTAGAATGTTTGTGACCATACTTCTATTAATAAGACGTAATATTTCCTCTAGTCATTGCATTATGACATCATAAAATACGTAATTTTTCCCATATCCAGTCAATTCTTTTGTAATTGGCTAAAGTTGAAGCAAATTTCAATATTTCATATAGAGCACAACCTCTGGTTCAAAATATGCGATTACATAATGAAAGATATGTTTCTCAAGATTAAATAGCATGCTTTAATTTTGGGATCTTGGGCTTTGCTCAAATTTTAATTCTTTGCTGAATGTAGTCAAATACGCATGTTTTCTGCAAAATTCGAGAACATTGCATTTTCTTAAAGCCTGTTTTTCAATACTTTGATTCTCAAAAAGAAATTTTATTATAGAAAATAAACGCACTAAGTGTCTACTTTATTTTGATCTATGAAATAGGAAAGAGGGTGGTAGTTTATTAAATGAAATAAGGACAGGGCCATTTTACGCATACAGTGAACCTAGCTCATCAGTAGGTTACTTTGAGCTTGTGTACCTGTATTTTGCCGTTAAAATTGAAATGTGTATAAAGAAGGATAAGTTTAGATAATTTAATTTGAGTTGAAACACGTTATTTGATTCGGTAAAAGATTGTATCCATTTTGTATAACATAAATTGCCTATGTCACGATGAGTCGCGTCAAAAACGTATTTCTCCGCTTGACGTTACTTTTTAAAAATATGCTTCATTTGAGGCCTATTTCCGGAGAAGAAAGTGTCTCATTGTCTACACCAAAATTAAATTATAAGGAATAAAGCTTATTTCAACTTTCGTTATACGATATAGCATAACTTCGGGCAGATTACGCTTTATAAACTGCGAAGCATACAGGTATAGACATTCTATATTTATTCAATCTTTTTTAAATGTTGAATATATATTTTCATTAAAAAATCATAATGTTTTCTTTTCAGTAAAAAGATTTCTTTTGTTATAGATGTGGGGATGGGGTAATGTTTGTTTGTTCTTTACAAAGGGAGAACACCTGTTATCAATTTCATCATCATATACATAATTGCATTGTAACATCATCAATAATTTAATAGTACTTTATTCAAAGAACGATATGTAAATGTTGTCAGGCAAAGGTGGGAAAATGATCTAAATATTCCACTTTTCATTTCCATACCAGAAATTTTCAGTTTGTTTATCCACTCACTCTGGGCATAAATTCAACGAATTCAAATAAGTAAATAAAAATTATACCCGGGTATTACAGTTTATTTTTGACTATTAGAGTGAATTAATGGCTTATCCTTTTGGCTTTAATTGTCAATAAAATATGTTCAATTCAATTAATGACTCTCCCACAATTTTTGGCAATTTACACCACAGACTTTACACATAACAAAGCGCTTTATTCTGGCTTCTTCAGTCGTACTTAAAGACAGTGGACTCCGTGTCCCTCCTGAGGGCTTGTGGGGGAGGGACGGCAAGCATCACTTGTCTGGCGTAAGGGGAATTATGGAGTCCCGCTTCCCTTAGTTTGGCCTCAAGGCGCATCCAGGAATCCGTGGTTATCTGATTATATTAAAAAGAATTAGTGATCACTGGGTATAATTGCAAGCATTGAAAACAGAAAGTGTCCTCATATAGAATGTGACCTTCCTGTTTGAGTGGAATGTGTTTATACATGTAGCAAACAAAGGTTTATCGATGTTTATTTCTTCATCTTAATCGTTGTTGGCTTGCCATGCCTACAAAAGAACAATTAGAGAATGGACAAGTTTGCGTTTTACAATTCTTTCATTTTTCTCCTTCTACATTGACGGAAGAAAAGCACATGCGAGTACTATTGAACTAATTTATAATTAGTATATACAGAATTAGAATTATTTAGTTGTACATCTGTATCTGCCATCATTCTGACTGCATCATTTTCAGCTATAACTCTGACCTATACATATAAAAAATAAATAATATTACACATTGTTCATATAAATATACGCATAAATCATCAATGTTTCTAACTCATCGTTGATGCACTGGCATACCCAACAAACTAGACAGGTATTCCTTACAGCCACGTAGTATCGTTTTTGAAGGGCGGGGCAGCCAGAGAATTTTTGTTGACATACCTGAAAAAGTTGACAAGAAAAAAAAGGGAAAATTAAAACTTTTTCAAATGCGCAAATCCTATTTCATTGAGAGGGGGTGTTGGAGAGGCCAATGCCAACCTCTTTCAATCAATTTTATTTTTTGCATACAATACTACATTTCCCTGATATCAATTACATGTATTATATAGTGGAGGAAGGGGCAACCAGCCTTTAGATGAACATTCCAAATAGTAAAAGTATGTTGGGACCCCCCCCCTTTTGCTACGTGCCTGCCTTATACATGTCATATGAAAAAGAAAAGAATTGTAAAAACAAGAAAAACATGTTGCTTGAGATTTAATGTGCAAGAGGCAACTCAAGTTGATTTCAATAGTCATTTTCCACTAATGTCAGACAGAAAGAAATTTGCATGAGAATGACATGCATACTGTGAAATCACAAATTTTCGTGGTGGTAAACTTTTTCGTTGTTTTCAAGGTTTAAAGAGACTCATGAATACATGTCAACAATTCTTCATCTACGAATTCAAATCCCCACGAAACAAGAGATTTTACTCCAACTATGAAAATTTGACCACATGAAAATATGTGATTTTACAGTTTAACATAATTAGGTTCCCGATCTTTTACTTGGCGAAATTTTAATTCAGGTGAAATTATCAGAAAATCAACTCATCTGACTTTTATAGTATTATTATAAAGAAAACAATTAGAAAATGATACATATAATATTATATACTTCAGCCAATTTGTAAGTATTATTCAAAATGATTTTATATATTTGTAGGACTCCAAAGTGCGATGAGACTCCAAAGTCCGATGGTCACGCCAAAGTCCGATGGTCTACGCTAATCCCCGATGGTCTGACACGCCAAAGTCCGATGGTGCGGAGAAACAATTAAAGTTTATGACGTCATAGTACTACTGCGCCAAACCTCGATGCCGCGCCATTCCAAGGTCTTAAAAATAAGTATAAATAAACAAATAAACGCGAAAACTAACCGTTATCTCTCAGATTGGTGCGAGACTAACTCTAAACGCTCAAAAAGTGTGTATCAACTTTAAGCTAGATATTTTGGGTGTTTGCAAGACTAACCCTATTCACTCGACTAGTGTGCAAGGACTAACCCTAAATCTCTCGGGTTGTGCAATGCAAGGACTAACCCTAATCGGAGTTGTGTGCGAGGAATAATCCTAATATATCTGGAAGGTGCAAGCAATAAGCAAAATCAATAAAATAGTATTCGAGGACGAATTCAGAAATGATGGCCTTTGATTGCAGGACAACGGCATCAATCATTGACGTCGGATTATTGTGACGTCATAAACGTCGATTGTTTCTCCGCACCATCGGACTTTGGCGTGTCAGACCATTGCACTTTAGCGCAACGTGTCTCATAGGAAACGACCCATCGGACTTTGGCGTGACCATCGGACTTTGGCGTCCATAAAGATCCATCGGGGTTTGGCGCAGACCATCGGGGTTTGGCGAGACCATCGGACTTTGGCGTTACCATCGCACTTTGGAGTCTTACATATTTATAGTAGATAAATTAGCTAAAAATTATTTTAATTTGTGATTGAAAAATGATTTGATTAATGATTTACATTTTTTTTCATTTTGATTACAATTTCACTGTAATGGTGATATTTATTGCTTTTAGTGGAATTCTTTTTTGATGTACATAATTATACAATATGTACAAACTTATATGCTCTTAAGTTGAACATGTATAGCTCATGTTATAATTATGCAGTTAATTGCT